CTACCAAAATACGCTGACTCTCCAGCATCAGCCCACTCACTGGTTAGCCTTCCCCTGGGCTACTTCCTGCTGCCATCCCCACAGCTGCAGTGCTGGCCTCCGTCTCACCTCCCTGGTCCATGAGCTACCCACTTCTTGGCACCTTTGAATTATGTGAGACCTCTGGAAACATCTCGCCTTTACCCTGGGTTGCGGCATCTCCGTGCCTGGGTTTCCATGGCACCTTGCCTGGAGCAGGCAGCGTACATCCTCTCCTTCTGTCAGTCAGCCCCTTGAGCTGCTCTCTTTTATATCCGTGCACCTGGGATATGCCAAGTAAGGAGGAAGGGGTGTAGCTTTCTTAGCTGTTAATGCAGTGTTAACCCTCTCTCACCCAATGTGGGCTAAGTGTGCCCCCTCACAGGCAGCTAAAATTTTACAATGTGCTGTGCAATCTAACAGGCACATTGGTTAAAGTCAAAACCAAAACATTTGCTAAGATCATGGAAACTCCATCAAATTGCCTAACCCCAAAGACACTGGTGTAGTGTTCTGTTTAATATTTTCCAGCCATGTGCGGAATAAAAGACCTACCTGTGGACTCTCTGCTAATCAGCTGGGGGGTTGGCAGGGCATTTATATTTTTCCTGAGCAGCCACACAGGTGCACAGTTTACAGAGAACACTGCACTGGTAATTGAAGAGTGTTTCTGCTTTTATAAACTTTTTCAAGAAGAAAATGATACAATTTCTGGATATGGGGCTGGATTAAGGAATGTAATAAAGCACTGTCAATTTGGAAAGACTGTAAATAATGAAGAGACTTGTTAGTACAGTACGTGATGTTCAAAATGAAACAATAAAAAGAAACCTGCTGATCATAGCTAATTTGACTAATTTTCCACTCTAAAACATGCTAGAAATTACTGAAAACAGCTATCAAAGATACCATGGAGTTGTACCAGCATCATGTGACATGTAATAAATAAGCTCAGAGTCCCACTGAAAGCACAACACAGAAAATTCTCCAAGACTGCATGGTTTCACTGTGGGAAATCAAATCATTTTAAGAACATAATCTGTAAAAAGTGGAATAAATTGGGGTTCATGCAGAAAATGTACGTGTTGGCAGAAAAGCATAACCATCTCCTCACCAAGGCAATTCCAGAGGATTTCAAAGTCATCAGCTGGCAATATAGAGTCCACAGAAAATGTCACAGCATCACTACAACTGTTAACGCAAATGAAGTGTCACTGGATTTCATTACAAGTGGAATGAATAAACTCCATCTCAAACCTTAACACAGGGTCTGCTGTTCCTGTAAGATTATCACAGGCTTCTGAGACGTAAAGTTGCAGAAAACCTTACTGCAATCAAAAGTATATACAGGGGAAATCTTTGCTTTCCTGGGTGTTATTATAGTGAAAGAAACTTTTTACAGTATGTGCTAAACCTTTACATTGTGAAATGGAGGGCTGCTCTGCTATTGATAGCAAATGGCTGAGAGAAATTCAGCTGGTCTAGAAAAACCTGCATTGTCCACAGGCTTAAAAAAGTAAACCCAAACTCAAGACAAAATTAAATGAACTGTTGGACAAAGGTGGCTGATATCTTTCAAGATGGCATCAGATCCTTAAAGACACATGAAAGCAAAAATTTGTGCTTGAAGAAGGAGCAGTTCCTAAATCTTACCAAATTTGGCTAGTACCGTTAGCCAAAAGTGAAGATGGAACATTAGCATTTACAGGACTCTGGAACTATTTCCATGGTTAACTGGAGAGAAAAGAACATCACTATAGTACAAGTAATGAAAAAGAATGTGTCTGACCCTACCTGCAAGGATTTCACGGTTGCTACTAACCCAGTGTTGCACGAATAGAAGATATATTTCCCTCATTAGCTGGTGGAAAGCATTTTTCCAAGATCAGTCTAGCCCAAGTCTTTTTACAAATGGAGACTGAACACAGTGCTAATTACAGCCTGGTGATTAACACACACAAGGGCTTATTTCAATGTATCAGGCTAGCATATAACTTACATCTAAACCCGCTATTTGCCAGGGACCAGGTAGTACACGGTATTCCTGGCACTCGGGTGTTTATGTGGATGATATATTGGTCATAGAAGTTAGGGTATGTCTACACTACAAAGTTAATTCGAACTAACAGCTGTTAGTTCGAATTAACTTTGATAGGCGCTACACAGGCAAACCGCTAGTTTGAACTTAATTCGAACTAGAGGAGCACTTAATTCGAACTAGGTAAACCTCATTCTACGAGGACTAACGCCTAGTTCGAATTAAGTAGTTTGAATTAAGGGCTGTGTAGCCACTTAATTCGAACTAGTGGGAGGCTAGCCCTCCCCAGCTTTCCCTGGTGGCCACTCTGGGCACCACCAGGGAAACTCTTCTGCCCCCCTTGCGGCCCCGGAGCCCTTAAAGGGGCACGGTCTGGCTACAGTGCCCGTGCCAAGTGCAAGCCTGCCA